TTAAACCGCTTAGAGAGGGCTGGAAAGCACTGTAAAGCGGTATATAAGTCTACTGCTATTGCTATTGCTATTAAACCGCTTAGAGAGGGCTGGAAAGCACTGTAAAGCGGTATATAAGTCTACTGCTATTGCTATTGCTATTAAACCGCTTAGAGAGGGCTGGAAAGCACTGTAAAGCGGTATATAAGTCTAAGTGCTATTGCTACCCGTCAGTCTTCGATCTCTTGGCGGAGAAGAAATATATAGAAGTTCAAAATGAAACCAGAACATTAACAGAAAACCTCGGTACCTTTTTTTGTAAATGTCTCTCTCCTTCTTCTCCTTTTTCTAGCTCTGTTAATATAGTTTTTTAAATTTATTTTCCATTTTATAAACATTTCATCTCTCCTTAAGCAGTGTATTGTCTAGGTACAAATACTTTGCTTCAATATCCTTCCACAAATTATATAAATTGAACCATTATACCATGTGTAACTCTTCATTTCCTTCATAATGTATCTTCTAATAAAAATGCAACAATAACATTAAACATGATTATTCTCATCCTACTCATGTTATCAGTTGCCATTTTATTCTTAATCTCTATCTTAATGTATTTTCTATTCTTCTTCTTGTCTTCTTCCTTTATTTCCAATTTCCTTTTTTATTCCCCAACCATTAATGCTTCCCATATCATATAATAATCAGTTTCTTCCTTCTCCTTAATTGCTAGTGTTAGTCTATTCATTTCTGCGCATTCTAATATTTTCCTAATCGCCACCTCTTCAGTAGGGATCTCTTCACTTTTCCAACATGGTGCAAATACAATTCTAGCTGCTGTTAACACATGAATAATTCCTTTTTTTCTAGCGAAAAGATCGATTTCGAAACCCATCAGCACTTTCAAGATTCCAGAGATCCATTTGCCACTGCTGGGTCAGTGCGTCCAGTCCTATTACGTCGATTTTAGTAATCAACTCAACAGAGCCATCACCATTTTATCTCCAGAGAATTCTGCACTTCTGGCCAGATATTTCTACCTTCGGGGACTTATAAGTCTGATGCAAAGAAAATTCCTAAATGCCCTTTCGGACTTCCAAAACCTGTACAAGACGGACATCGGGATATTCCCCACGGACCTCGTGAGAAAAATGATCGAGAGTCTCCCACCCCAGGATCGCTCCCAGGCAGACCAGAAACCCGAACTGAAGAGGTTGATCAGTCATCTGCTGGACAAACAGAGGGAGGTCACCAAAACCGACGACCACGTGAAGAAGTTTGAGCTGCCAAAAACTCACATGCAGGTGAACGACTTCGTGAAGCGCATCCAGGAATCCGGGATTGTCAAAGATACTGACACGATCCACCGGTTGTTTGACGCCTTAACCGTAGGTAAGGGGCAAAAACAAAAGAGAAACTTACTCCCTTCTTAGAAACATTGGTGAGAATTCCCAAAGAGGCAACGTTTCACTTCTCACCCAAGAAGCTTCTTCAGCTCTGACTGGATGGTGGGGAATGGAAGGATTGATACTCCTTGCAGACAAAGCTGGTCATTTGCATCCTTTGAGAGGGTCATTGAGGCCACTTGGAGGTTTATCTGTGTCCTCAGGGTGCAAGTGGTTCCTGTAATCTGCATTTTTTCCCTATGGAAATCAATTCCTACTCCCACACCAATTCAGAGGGTTTTCATCCCAAATTGCATAGCTAAAGATCTATAGAGGTTCTCCATCATCCAGGTCATGGTTGTCCCAAAGGTGTTTTTTTCAGGAGGCAACTGGACTTTCTGGTTTTTCCTTTTGAAGACGTTTTGCTTTCTCATCCCAAAAGCTTCTTCAACTCTGACTGGATGGTGGGGGACGGAAGGATTGATGCTCCTTGCAGACAGCTGGTCATTTGCATCTCTTGCCCTCTGGTGCTTTGGAAAATAAGTTGAGCCCTTTTTCTTTGTGGCAGCCTCCAGTATACTGGAATATTCATTCATTGATTCATTCATTCATTCATTCATTCATTCATTCATTCATTCATTCATTCATTCATTCATTCAATTTCTATAGCCACCTGTTCTGACTCCCCTCCTCCATCCAGGAACGAAAGCCAAAACCCACGTAACTAAAAAGGTTTATTTTAATCAGTCAAGACTCTCATTGGCTGCAAGCCACATAAACATAAAATTATACATGAATTATAGTTAAAATTATAGTTAAAATTATAGTTAAAATTATAGTTAAAATTATAGTTAAAATTATAGTTAAAATTATAGTTAAAATTATAGTTAAAATTATAGTTAAAA